GGGGCGGAATGGTGTAGCCCAGCTCCCTGCTCGGGGGGGGGGATGTGTCCCCCCTGCTTTGAAGGCCTGCCTCAAAGTGGCTGCATCTCTTCATCCGTCCCTGGAGCTGCCAATCCGAATCCTGCAACGTTCCCAGGCTGCACCAGGGAAAGGAGAGAAGGAGCCCCCTTCTCCCGAAGAGACCGACCCCTTGGAGTGAGGGAGGGTGACCTGGGCAAAAGGGCCAGCTGAGGAACCTGGGGCTCCCGTTAATGCTTGTGGCTGAACCCCCCTGCACCCCCTGCGTCTCATTCCCTGCCCTTCCTTGGCCCAGAGAGAGAGATCCTGCCTGGCCTTCGCCCTCAGGAATAGAATAGAATGGGACAACAGAGTTGGAAGGGACCTTGGAGGTCTTCTAGTCCAACCCCCTGCTTAGGCAGGAAAGGGTACACTACCTCAGACAAACGGTTATCCAATCTCTTCTTTAAAAGACACCCCCCCCCCACATTTTCCCTTGTACAGAAGCTGGGATCCTGGATTGGGGGGAGCCCAGTGTCCTTAAGCAGGGAGGAGGCTGGCTCTGCCCTGCACCCGGGACCCGGGGAGGCTGGGCACAAAGAGATCCTCTATTGTGATTCACAGCAACGGGCTTCCGGCCTCTTCCACGTCTTCCTAATTTCCAGAGCCGAGAGTGCGGAGAGGCCTTGGCGCTCCTCGGAAAACAGCCGCAGGGACTGAAGCGGTTTGGAGGAAGAAATGAGGAACGCGGAGTTCCAGAGCAAATGGGGAGGAAGTGACGGGTGGGAGCGGGGCTGGGAGAAGAGGAGGCCAAGCCAGGCTGGCTGGGTCGGCTGGGGACAGAGGAGCCCAAAGTCCCGATGCGTCTCTGGAGCAACCAGGAAACCCCTTGAGACCACAGATAGGAGCCTCCTCACTAAAGGCGTTTCTTTCCCGCAAGGAAGCCTGAATGGGGAACATCTTTGCGGGAACGGAGCGTTGGGGAAAGTCCTGAGAACTTCAGGCACATCAAGACTCCGAGCGAAGCTGAGCAGCTCCTCAGGGCCCCGGAAGTCCAGGCAAAGCTCTTCAGAGCAGGAGGGGGAGCTCTCCTCCTCCTCCAAGATCAAAGGCCGACAAATGAGTAGTTGGACAAACAAGGGAGAAGGCGGCCCCCCCCGGCAAGCAGACCCCCCCCCCCCCCCGCTCTCTGGCCGGGCTGGCTTCGCCCAGCTTCCATTTGCAGCCTCACCGCAAGGAGCTTCCTTGCCAGCCCCATTGGGAGGGGCGCCCCCTTCCAAAACAGGAACCCTTGTCTTATTGGGGGCTTTCCAGCGCAGGAAGCCCGGGGTGTGGAGGGGGCTCCAGTCTCCCCAGGCAGAGGGAGGCGCGATCCATCCCGGCTCGTCCTGCAGCCCCAGAGGCATCTGGGGACAATCAAGACGGGCCTGAGCTTGGCCGGAAGGCGCAGTTTGTCTCCTCTGATGTGGTTGTGTCGCTGGCAGCGCTGGGGTCTCCGCCCTGCCAGAGAGTCCACGGAGCACAGGAGTCCTCTCCAAAACGCGTTCTGTCAGTCTTGGGAGGCTGGAGGGCGGGGGCTGTGTAGGCCCAACCTCCTGGCTGTCCTGCGGCTGAAGGGTTTGGAGAATTCCACGGCTCAAAGGATTAATCAACATGCCCAAACAGGGCTCCATTGGGGTCCCGGAGAGAGGGGAGACTGGAGATCAGCCAGCAGAGCCCAGCGCCTGGTCTCCTTCAGTTTCTGTTGCACCCCTGCATGAATCCCTGGTCTTGCCTCCTTCAAAAGTGGTGCTGTTAGGGGAACACCGTTCTGTCCCACCCAAAGACAGAGCCAGAACTAGATCCGTGGAGCTCAGGAGTGGATCTCCATAAAACACGGGGAGTGGATTCTGATCCTGCCCAGAAGAAAAGCGCTCCTGCAGGGCCAGGCCAGTTTCCTTCTGTAATTGCTCTGCCCCTCGCGGTGTGGAAGGGACCCTGAAGGGCAGAGCCAAGATCTCCGAGCGGGACAGAGGGTCGGGGGCTCGCCTGCATCGGAGCTGAAACCGGACAGGAATCTGACTTACGCTCTTAAGCGCCGACACTCGCTACTCGGGAAGAGAGCCCATTTCCAAGACGGCGGGACCACATTCCAAGTGGGGGTGGGGGGTGGGGGGTGTCACCGACGGGCCCCTTCAGCTGGGGGACTGGGGGGGGGGGGGGGCGCACGGGGGAGGCTCTCTTAAGCCACGTTGCCCGTTTGAGTGGCGGCGAGTTCTTCAGTTTGTGTCCCGGACTGCAACCAACGGTTCTCGCCGGGAAAGGCACCACAAGAGCGAATCCCGCCTCCCCAAAGTCCGGCACTGGCCTCCGAGGCTGGCCCGGATAGGTGGCCTCACAAGTGCCCAAACCTGCGCCTTGCAGAACGCCCCCGTTTAATCTCTCTTCTTCCGACCCCGAAGGGCTACAGAGGCAGCGCCTCCCCCAGTCGGGCTCTGGAGGAAAGCGCCTGGGGCTCTTTGGACTCCTTTAGCTGTCCTGGCTGGGGATTATGGGCGCTCGAGTCCCGGAGAGCTGGAGGGAGAGGTCAGGGCCCGAGAATCAGAAGCAGCCGTCAAATGGCCCTTCCTGGAGCCGCCTTTCCTGGACGTGTCCAGCGGGAGCCGGAGGGGGGGGCAGCCACGCCCTCCCCCTCCCGACCCCACCCCAGCCCCTTCCTCCCAGGCCGGACGTGCCCTGCTCACCTCAGCGCCGGGTCCCCAGTCTCACCCGCCGAAAATCCCCCGGCGCCGCACAGGCTGCTCTGGCTTCAGCTCCCGCGGAGCGAAGGAGTTCAGGCGCCCCCGAGCTGCCCAGATCATCCTTGCGGAGACGTCACTCACCAGACCCCCCCCGTCTGTCCTGGGGGGGAGACACTTTCGCTGGAACGCTCCAGGTGTTCTCAAGAGCAGCCACCCCCCCTCCCGCTTTCACTGATGGCTCCCCTGGAACGCCCCCCCCCGAAACCTCAGGACAAGCCCAGAGACAGGCGAGGGTCCCCTCTCTGGGGGGCTGTGAGGAAGGAAACCCCTCCCCCAAAGCAAACCAGACCAAACTTGCCGGCTGCCTCAGAAAGGATCCCCTGCAGGTGGGGAAAGGAACAAGGCGTGGCATGAGGGCGTCTTCTTCCTGGAAAGGCTTCCAAAACTTTTGTGCGCACACCCAGCTCTTCACTGCCTGTTTGTTACCGGTACCTGGCAAAAATAAATGGCCAACGGTGGAGCTCAGGCGGGGCTAGAAAGGGCCTTTTAACAGCTTCATTATTTTCTTCCCCCCTTCCTGCCGAAAGTTGCAAGCAGGTGGGCAGAAAACTGGCAAGGGATTGAGAAGAGGAGTAAACGTTGCAGCCCTGAAGGGGGGAGGAGAGGGGGGGGTCTTTAAAATCATCCTGTGTGAGGAGCAAATAGAGAGGAAGGATTCCGACAGGTGTAGTCTCCAAGGACAGGAGAGCCTGGGCGCATTTCCCCAAGGGGACCACGGAACTCCCTGCCACAAGGGGTGGGGGCATCTTCCCAGCCACTCTGGATTCTTGCTGGACAGGACAGGACTGCAACGCCCAAAGGCTGAGAGGCTTGTGGGGAACTACCATCCCTCCTCTGGGCTCCTTGGATGAAGGGCCACCTTCCCATCCATTCTGCGTCTCTGGGCCTGGCAGTTCTCCCCTCCCTCCCCCCTGCCCCGCTCCCTCTGGCTGGGCTGGTGGCTTTAGCAGGGGGCAGCCAAGGGCTTAGATTTATGCTGGAGGCAGGAATTTTTCCGGCCAGCCTGAACAGGCCTGGCTGCACCCCTGACCCAGGGACGACAGGAATGCCAAGGAGCTGATGGGGGGGGGGGGGGGGAAAGGAAAGGGGGGGGGGGGGGGGGGGGGGGGGGGGGGCCTTGACACAACACTCTGCTGGACACCCTACACTGTGGGTAGAGGAACAGGACTGGTGACTGTTCTGAGGACTCAGCCCCCCTGCCCCTCCAACCCCAAAGGGATCCTCCCCCCCAAATTCTTCTTTCTGCAAAACCCGGGGGGGGGCTGTATC